ATCCCGAAAGCAAATCGAGCGTCGAAAAAAACTGTGCTCCTGCCAAGGCATCCAGCGACTCATCCATCCTGGGGAGCGGATACGCATCGGCCATTGATATTTTGTTTAGGCGGCGGAAATCAACACAGAACCGCAGGGATCCATCCTGTTTTTTAACCAAGACGATAGGAGCACCCCACGGACTGGAAGAGGGCGCAATGATGTCGGCCGCCAACATGTCATTTACTGCCGACTGCACATGCTCCTTCTCGGCTGGACTGAGCCGGAAGGGATTCTGTCGAATAGGGGCCGCGTCCCCAGTCTCTATGTGGTGGCGCAACAGGTCTGTGCAGCCAATGTCGTACTTGTGCCTGCTAAACACGTCAGCGAACTCGAGCAGCAAGCCCCTCAATGCACCCAACTGCACACTGGACAAGGTACTGGACCCGGCACACAACGAGTCCAACCACTCCGTCCCCTCCTCACTTTGGGGATGCGTATCGACATTTGAATCGGCGTGAGCAACGAGCTGTTCCTCGACGGGTAGCGGCGCGGCGTGAGCGAGCACCGTTCCCTGCGTAATCACGGCCGGCCGCGACCCCGTATTCAGGACCACAACGAACGGCTCACTGTCCCCCCTCACCATGGTCTGGGCCACCGCTAAGTCGAGGTCCCCTTTAGCCCTGTTAGACGGCCCCAATAGAACTCCCTGCGCCCCCGCATCCGCCCCAAGGGGTTTTCTCAACCGAAGGGGTACCAACATTTGCGATCCCGGGGGCACCCGTACAGTCCGGGTTGCCAGCGCCTGCACCGTCGCACAAGCCGTGCGTATCTTATTTGGACTTTTCAAAAACTCAACCCGCCGACCCGACGGAAGCTCAATGCAGGCCTGGTCTATGAGAATTTTTATGGGCATTTTAGACAGAAAGTCCGTGCCTAGTAAACAAGGAACGGCCAACGATGATGATACAAAAATAGGACCCGCCAATTTAATGTTGCCAATACAAATAGTCGCCCGAATCTGGCCGATGATTCCCAAAGATCCCCCGTTTGCCGCGTAAAATGGTACGTCGACCGGCAGAAGTGGTCGACATTGTACGGGAAGAATATTATAAATAAGGTCCGAAATAATAGTGGCCGACGCACCCGTGTCCACGAGCACCCGGACCTCAACCCCGTCAATGTACCCCGTTACCACGGACGACCCGGCCGACGCAGCCACAATCCTGTGGGCCAATTCGGACCACTCGACTGCCTTCGGGCCGTACGCGGACCCCTCTCGCCGAACCGAACCCCCGGCGCCCATACACGGTCCCCCCACCGCTAAGCGGCGACCCGAACGTGCCGTGCGTGTGGACCGAACGTGTGAGGTGCCGCGACTTGCCGGGTTCAGTTGGGATGTCTTGAGTCCCTGGTCGTCGTCCGGACGTGGTCCCGCGGTGCGTTGACGCGGGGCCCGGCACCCGGACGCGACGTGGCCCCGAAGGCCGCAGTTGTAGCAGACGACGAGGGACGTCGTAGGTTTTGGTTGCTCCAGCTTGCGGGAGGAGCGTGTGGGCGAACGACCTCCCGTTCTCCACTCCCCCGGCCTCGAACCAGCGAAGGCCTCCTCCCGAGGCACAGCAGGCTGAGGTCCGATGATCGTGGCGGCCGGTGCCCCGTTCTCCACCGATGCGCAGACGACCGTCGGCTTCCGCTGTAGGACCTCGTAAGCGTGGATACTCGTGGCAATCCCCAGGGAGCAGATGTCCATTTCGTCCGCCGTATTAATGGGAACTCCCAATCCGTGAGCCAGCGCCAGCAGCTGCTCCGTCACCATGGCGTCCTTCCCCTCCTTGTCCATGCGGGGAAAAGCAGAATCCGCCAGGGCGAGCAGCGCCGTGCGATAGGCGAGCGTTGTTTCTCCAACCACCTTCCGCCGATCGTAGAACTGGTGGCGACAGGTCGAGGGCGGCCCGAACACCTTGGCCAACAGGTGCAGCGCGGCCTGGAGCGTTGAGCGGGACGACCTCGGGGCAGACGTGAAGGCCGCAAGCGCGTCGTCGTCGAGCATCGCTGGCAGCGCGCGCAGGGCAGTGGTGTCGGACCACCCCGACATTTCTTGATGCGCGATGAACCGTCGCTGGAAGGCTCCCCAGTCGCCCCCGTCCGCCTTGAACACCGACAGCGCGGGCAATCGTTGCTGGAGAACTCGATCGTCGTCGTCGTCGTTGGAACGATTTTCCCGCGCGCCGCTGTGGTTGTAGAAAATGTCGGCTCCCTCTGCAGGCGCAAAATGGAGAGCTCCGGCGCTCGCCGATGACGCGGGCTGCGCTGTGTGGAGACCTCTGGCCACGTGGTGTCCGCGTTACCCGCCAACCGGAGGCGGACCCTCAAAAATGGCGCCAACTCCAAAACTTTTGGCGCGAAACGCCTTATGGCGGGAACCCTCCAGCCGCGCCGCCTCTTCCAACCCCGCAGGCGTTCCACCGGCCGCTGGAACAAAGATCTCCGCCAAGATCGCAGCGGCGGCGAGCAGCAACTCCGCCAGGCGGGAGTGTGCGTCCTGCAGGCTGGTGTCGGAGGCGGGCGGAGCATCGGCCATTTCCGCGAAGTGCTGCATCGGCGGCAACTCCTCGTCCTCTCCTCCCGAGGGTGGTGTCACCGGTACGTTGTCGTCTCCCCGGTCTTGCACGTGGGAACGAGAAGTCTTCCTTGTGTCCATTCTCCTTGAAGACAGGTTTACTTCTGACGCCAGTTGTAAAGTAGTAACTCGGCAGGAGACGACTTCACGGGTAGCACACTCTTTATTTTCACCAACTTGTAGTTACACGGATGACTAACACCCTACTTCGTTACACGGGTGACCAACACCCACTTAGCTACACGGGTGACGGACACCCACTCAGCTACACGGGTGACTAACACCCACTCAGCTACACGGGTGACCAACACCCACTCAGCTACACGGGTGACCAACACCCACTCAGCTACACGGGTGACCAACACCCTCCTTAGCTACTCGGGTGACTAACACCCACTCAGCTGTACTGACACGGGCTCTTATGCCCCGTAGCCTTCCGGGACACACCCAGCCAGGGTGCCCGTCTCGGCTCTGGGTACCACCGTCCCGACCCACACGGGCGTCGGACTACGGTCCCCCAGTCTCGGCTCCGAGCCACACAGGGCCCCGGTCCCCACAAGGACGGCGGGACTAGGGGTCTCGGGCCACTACCTCCTCCACCCCGTCTTCGGTCTTCAACTGGTTAACACTGACCACGAGTGCTCTCGCGCGTCCCCCTTTATACCCCTCCTGCGGACGTCGCTGAGAGCACCCACTTATCTGACCAATCACTGCGCACTCGCTACGATCCTCTTTTCCCAGCTTGTGTGAGCGCGCCTTACCACCGGCGCGCGCGTCCATGCCACGCCCACATCGCGTGCCCAACCCCGCGCCCCGTGATCCATCACAGCCGGCGCACGTCAATACCACCACTACACATCTAGCCTGGCACAGCAGCAGTCTACCCATGGCACCTGCTGGGTCAGTCCCGTGACCTCCTCATGCACCTAGCCTGGCACAGCAGCACTCAACCCATGGCACCTGCTGGGTCAGTCCCGTGACCTCCTCCTCATGCACCTAGCCTGGCACAGCAGCAGCAATCAACCCATGGCACCTGGAGGGTCTGTCCTGTGACCTCCTCCTGCACCTAGCCTGGCACAGCAGCAGTCAACCCATGGCACCTGCTGGGTCAGTCCCGTGACCTCCTCCTCATGCACCTAGCCTGGCACAGCAGCAGTCAACCCATGGCACCTGCAGGGTCTGCCCCGTGACCTCCTCATGCACCTAGCCTGGCACAGCAGCAGTCAACCCATGGCATCTGCAGGGTCTGCTCCGTGACCTCCTGCCAGTGGGCGTTCAACACTTCACGTGGCCTCAGCGTGCACCCAGCCTGATGTGGTACAGGAGGACGTGGAGCTGAGTGGACTTGCCGATGACTGGTACCAGCGGTGTTAAGATCGGCCTCTGTGGAGGAGGCTCGTGAAGGACGCTACTGGGCAGTTGGAGGCAGTCGCCCTCCAGCAACAACGGAGGGCGGAGGAGCGACGCTCACAACAACGAGCGGAGCGCCGGGTGGCTAAAGCACAGCAAGTTGGCACAGTAGGGGGCACAGGTGGTGCATCAGCCAGTCATTTCGGTCATCTCAGTCAGTCGACCCGTGGCACTTGCAGGGTCTGCCCCGTGACCTCCTGCCAGCGGGCCTTCGACACTTCACGTGGCCTCAAGGTGCACATGGCCTGGCACAAGCGTCGTGGTGACGTCACCGCCACTTAGTGGCGAATGGCGGTTGTTGTTGTTGTGTGTGTCTGTGTGTATCTGTGTGTGTCTGTGTGTCTCTGTGTGTGTCTCTGTGTGTGTCTCTGTGGGTGTCTCTGTGAGCGTTCGACACTTCACGTGGCCTCAGCGTGCACCTAGCCTGGCATAAGCGCCGTGGTGACGTCACCGCTACTTAGTGGCGAATGGCGCTTGTTGTTGGTGTGTGTGTGTGTGTCAGTGTGTGTATCTGTGTGTGTATCTCTGTGTATCTGTGTGTATGTGTGTGTCTGTGTGTGTGTGTCTGTGTATATGTGTGTGTGTCTCTGTGTGTGTCTGTGTGTCTCTGTGTGTGTGTCTCTGTGTCTCTGTGTGTGTCTCTGTGCGTGTCTCTGTGCGTGTCTCTGTGCGTGTCTCTGTGCGTGTCTCTCTGTGTGTGTCTGTGTGTGTCTCTGTGTGTGTCTCTGTGTGTGTGTATCTGTGCGTGTCTCTGTGTGTGTCTCTGTGCGTGTCTCTATGTGTCTTTGTGTGTGTCTCTGTGTGTATCTGTGCGTCTCTCTGTGCATGTCTCTCTGTGTGTCTCTGTGCTTGTCTCTGTGTGTGTCTCTGTGCGTCTCTCTGTGTGTGTCTCTGTGCGTGTCTCTGTGCGTGTCTCTGTGCGTGTCTCTGTGTGTGTCTCTGTGTGTTGTTGTGTTTTTGCAACCCCCTCTGTCTCCCTCTGTCTCAGGACACATGAGCGAGCTGCTCGACACCGAATCGGACCTCCTGCGCGCTCTCGACTCGTACATCGCCGAGCAACAGAGACGCCTGCACAGCCTGAGAGCGTGAGAACAGCAGCAGCAGCATCATCAGCAGCAGCAGCATCAGCAGCATCAACGTTATGATCATCAGCAACATCATCAGCAGCATCATCGTCATCAGCAGCATCAGCAGCAGCATTATGATCATCAGCAACATCATCAGCAGCATCGTCATCAGCAGCATCGTCATCATCATCGTCATCATCATCGTCATCATCAGCAGTATCGTCATCATCAGCAGCATCGTCATCATCAGCAGCAGCAGCATCAACATGAGCAGCAGCAGCATCAGCAGCAGCATCAGCAGCAGCAGCATCAACATTATGATCATCAGCAACATCATCAGCAGCAGCAGCATCAGCAGCATCAGCAGCAGCAGCATCAACATCAGCAGCAGCAGCAGCAGCATCAGCAGCAGCATCAGCAGCAGCATCAACATTATGATCATCAGCAGCATCAGCAGCATCAGCAGCAGCATCATCAGCAGCAGCATCAGCAGCAGCATCATCAGCAGCAGCATCAGCAACATTATGATCATCAGCAACATCATCAGCAGCAACATCAATATCAGCAGCAGCATTATGATCATCATCAGCAGCAACATCAATATCAGCAGCGTCATCAGCAGCATCGTCATCATCAGCAGCATTGTCATCATCAGCAGCATCATGATCATCAGCTGCAACATCAATATCAGCAGCAGCATCAACATTATGATCATCAGCAACATCATCAGCAGAAACATCAATATCAGCAGCGTCATCAGCAGCATCATGATCATCAGCCGCAACATCAATATCAGCAGCAGCATCATTATGATCATCAGCAACATCATCAGCAGCATCAACATTATGATCATCAGCAACATCAATATCAGCAGCATCGTCATCAGCAGCAGCATCGTCATCATCAGCAGCATCATGATCATCAGCATCAACATCAGCAGCAGCATCATCAGCAGCAGCATCATCAGCAGCATCGTCATCATCAGCAACATCATCAGCAGCAATATCAATATCAGCAGCGTCATCAGCAGCATCGTTATCATCAGCAACATCATCAGCAGAAACATCAATATCAGCAGCAGCATCAACAGCATTGTCATCAGCAACATCATCAGCAGCAATATCAATATCAGCAGCGTCATCAGCAGCATCGTCATCAGCAGCAGGGGGAGAGCCACACAAACTCCAAATACACAGTCATTGTCAGAGTCGAGATCGAACCCACGACCTCCTGTACACCGGCAAGGCAGTTTACATGTCGCCGCATGCAATTTCCAAATAGACAGCAGCAGGCATCAGGGTCGGGATTGAACCCACAACCTCCTGCATACCAGGCGATGTAGTTAACATCTCCTAGTCACCCACCCACCAACTCACCCACTCACACACCCACTCACCCACCCACCCACCCACCCCACCAACCCACCTACCCCCTCACCCACCCACCCACCTACCCACCCCACCAACCCACCTACCCCCTCACCCACTCACCCACCCACCCCCTCACCTACTCACCCACTCACCCACCCACTAACCCACCGACCCACTCACTCACCCACTCACCCATTCACCCACTCACCAACCCACCCACCCACTCACCCAACCACCCACTGACCCACCCACTCACCCACCCACTCACCCACCCACCCACTCACTCACTCACCCCCTCACCCACCCACTCACTCACCCACCCACCCACCCACCCACCCACCAACTCACCCACTCACTCACTTACCCACTCACCCACCCACTCACCCACCCACTCACCCATCCACTCACTCACCCACTCACTCACCCACTCACTCACTCACCCACCCACCCACCCACCCACCCCACCAACCCACCTACCCCCTCACCCACCCACCCACCTACCCACCCCACCAACCCACCTACCCCCTCACCCACTCACCCACCCACCCCCTCACCTACTCACCCACTCACCCACTCACCCACCCACCCACCCACTCACCCAACCACCCACTCACCCACCCACTCACCCACCCACTCACCCACCCACTCACCCACCCACCCACTCACCCAACCACCCACTCACCCACTCACCCACCCACCCACTCACCCACCCACCCACCCACCCACTCACTCACCCACCCACCCACCCACTCACTCACCCACCCACTCACTCACCCACCCACCCAACCACCCAGCCACCCACAAAACCCACCGTCCCCCCCCCCCACCGCTCTCCCCGCGCTCTCCCTCGCAGGTGGGCGGAGTCTATACAGGAAGTCCGCCGCGCCGCGACCCTTGACCCGGAAGGGTTCCTGGGCAATCCGGTCAACGCCTACCGGCTACTCAAGCGGCTGGGGCAGCAGTGGCGGACGCTGGACGACACGGCCATCATGAACCCGGCCACAGGTGGGTCGCAAGCAAGCCGCACCCGCTCACTCACTCATTCACTCATTCACTCGCTCGCTCATTCACTCGCTCACTCACTCATTCACTCATTCACTCGCTCACTCATTCGCTCACTCATTCACTCGCTCACTCACTCACTCAGCTTACACTCACTCACTCATTCACTCACTCATTCACTCACTCATTCACTCACTCGCTCACTCACTCACTCGCTCACTCATTTGCTCACTCATTCACTCGCTCACTCACTCACTCAGCTTAACACTCACTCACTCACTCATTCACTCACTCACTCAGCTTACACTCGCTCACTCATTCACTCGCTCACTCATTCACTCATTCACTCATTCACTCGCTCACTCATTCACTCAGCTTTCATTCACTTAGCTTACACTCACTCATTCACTCATTCACTCGCTCGCTCATTCACTCGCTCACTCACTCACTCATCCACTCATTCACTCGCTCACTCATTCGCTCACTCATTCACTCGCTCACTCACTCACTCAGCTTACACTCACTCACTCATTCACTCACTCATTCACTCATTCACTCGCTCACTCACTCGCTCACTCATTTTCTCACTCATTCACTCGCTCACTCACTCACTCAGCTTAACACTCACTCACTCATTCACTCACTCACTCAGCTTACACTCGCTCACTCATTCACTCGCTCACTCATTCACTCATTCACTCATTCACTCGCTCACTCATTCACTCAGCTTTCATTCACTTAGCTTACACTCACTCGCTCATTCACTCAGCTTACACTCGTTCATTCACTCAGCTTCCACTCGCTCAGCTTCCACTCACTCATTCACTGAGCTTAGACTCACTCATTCACTCACTCAGCTTCCACTCATACAGCTTACACTCACTCATTCACTCAGCTTAAGCTCACTCACTCATTCACTCACTCAGCTTACACTCATACAGCTTAGACTCACTCATTCATTCAGCTTAAGCTCACTCACTCATTCACTCACTCAGCTTACACTCGCTCAGCTTCCACTCACTCAGCTTACACTCACTCGGCTTAGACTCACTCATCCACTCAGCTTAGACTCACTCACTCATTCACTCAGCTTACACTCATTCACTCAGCTCTCATTCACTCGCTCAATCACTCAGCTTAAACTCGCTCACTCATTCACTCAGCGTTCACTCACTCGGCTTACACTCACTCAGCTTAGACTCACTCATTCACTCAGCTACACTCTCTCACTCATTCACTCAGCTTACACTCATTCAGCTTACACCCACCTACTCACCCACCTGCTCACCCACCTGCTCACCCACTCGCTCACCCACTCGCTCACCCACTCGCTCACCCACTCGCTCACCCACTCGCTTGCTCACCCACTCGCTCGCTCACCCACTCATTCACCCACGCACTCACCCACTCGCTCATCCACTCGCTCATTCACCCACTCGCTCGCTCACCCACCCACTCACCCACCCGCTCACCCACTCACTCACCCACTCGCTCACCCACTCGCTCACCCACTCATTCACCCACCCACTCACCCACTCGCTCACCCCCTCGCTCACCCACTCGCTCATTCACTCACCCACTCGCTCACCCACTCGCTCACCCACTCGCTCACCCACTCATTCACCCACCCACCCGCTCACCCACTCGCTCACCCACTCACCCACTCGCTCGCTCACTCACCCACTCGCTCACCCACTCACTCACCCACTCGCTCACCCACCCACTCACCCACCCGCTCGCCCACCCGCTCGCTCACCCACTCGCTCACCCACTCGCTTACCCACTCGCTCGCCCACTCGCTCACCCACCCACTCACCCACTCGCTCACCCACCCACTCACCCACCCGCTCGCCCACCCGCTCGCTCACCCATTCGCTCACCCGCTCGCTCACCCATTCGCTCACCCACCCACCCACTCGCTCGCCCACTCACCCAGAGCTGCGGTTTGTCTCCGTCTCCCTCTTACCAAGAGTTCCTAGCGAACATATCTGCCCAGCGTCTGCGGCTGCCCACCGAGGAGGATGTGACCGGGGCAGCCAAGGCCCTGATGCGTCTCCAGGACACGTACAGGCTGAGCACGCGCGACATCGCAGACAGGAACCTACCAGGTACTCGCTCCCTTCTACGTGACTTTACCGAAAGAACCAAGAAGATGAATCCCTGCAGTCACGAACAGCTTGAAATCGAAAGAGACTCACTCTGTGAGACATTCTATGTCTGTGGCTGCTACAGCCTGGGCCGGGTCTCAGAACCTGAGTCCTCTGAGTCTCTAAACCCTGAGTCTCTAGACTGTGAGTCTCTAAACCCTGAGTCTCTAAACCCTGAGTCTCTGAGTCTTTAGACTGTGAGTCTCTAGACTGTGAGTCTCTACTCCCTGAGTCTTTGAGTCTCTAAACCCATGAGTCTCTAGACTCTGAGTCCTAAACCCTGAGTCCCTGAGACTCTAAGTTACTCCACCCACTCGCTCCCTCATTCACCCGCTCACCCACTCGCTCCCTCATTTACTCGCTCCCTCATTCACCCGCTCACCCACTCGATCCCTCATTCACCCGCTCACCCACTCGCTCCCTCATTCACTCGCTCCCTCATTCACCCGCTCACCCACTCGCTCCCTCATTTACCCGCTCACCCACTCGTTCCCTCATTCACCCGCTCACCCACTCGCTCCCTCATTCACCCGCTCACCCACTCGCTCACCCGCTCGCTCCCTCATTCACCCGCTCACCCACTCGCTCACCCACTCACTCACCCACTCGCTCACCCACTCGCTCCCTCATTCACTCGCTCCCTCATTCACCCGCTCACCCACTCACTCACCCACTCGCTCACCCACTAGCTCCCTCATTCACCCACTCGCTCACCCACTCACTCATTCACTCGCTCCCTCATTCACTCGCTCCCTCATTCACCAGCTCACCCAATCGCTCCCTCATTCACTCGCTCCCTCATTCACTCGCTCCCTCATTCACCAGCTCACCCAATCGCTCCCTCATTCACCCGCTCACCCACTCGCTCACCCACTCGCTCCCTCATTCACCCTCTCACCCACTCACTCACCCGCTCGCTCCCTCATTCACCCGCTCACCCACTCGCTCACCCACTCGCTCACCCGCTCGCTACCTCATTCACCCGCTCACCCACTCGTTCACCCACTCGCTCACCCACTCGCTCACCCGCTCGCTCCCTCATTCAGTCTCTGAGTCTCTAAGTCTCTGAGTCTCTAAACCCTGAGTCTCTAAACCCTGAGTCTCTAATCCCCGAGTCTCCGAGTCTCTGGACCCCGTAACCCTTCCTCTCCCCACCCTGCCCCACCCTAACCCACTCGCTCACCCACTCGCTCACCCACTCGCTCACCCACTCACTCCCTCATTCACCCGCTCACCCACTCGCTCACCCACTCGCTCCCTCATTCACCCGCTCACCCACCCGCTCACCCACTCGCTCCCTCACCTACTCGCTCCCTCATTCACTCGCTCCCTCATTCACCCGCTCACACACTCGCTCCCTCACCCACTCATTCGCTCGCTCCCTCATTCACCCGCTCACCCACTCGCTCACCCACTCGCTCACCTACTCGCTCCCTCATTCACCCGCTCACCCACTCGCTCACCCACTCGCTCACCCACTCGCTGACTCATTCACCCGCTCACTCGCTCACCCACTCGCTCACCCACTCGCTCGCTCATTCAGTCTCTGAGTCTCTCAACCCCGAGTCTCCGAGTCTCTGGACCTCGTAACCCTTCTCCCCACCCCGCCCCACCCTCACCCACTCGCTCACCCACTCGCTCACCCACTCGCTCACCCACTCGCTCACCCACTCGCTCATTCAGTCTCTGAGTCTCTGAGTATCTAAGTCTCTAAACCCCGAGTCTCTGAGTCTCCAATCCCCGAGTCTCTAAACCCTGAGTCTCTAAACCCTGAGTCTCCAATCCCCGAGTCCCTGAGTCTCCAATCCCCGAGTCTCCTAGTCTCGTAACCCTTCTCTCCACCCCGTCCCACCCTCACCCACCGTCTCTCTCCCTGTGTGTGTGTCTGTGCGCTCGCTCATTCACCCTCAAGGCGCGATGTACCACGTCGCTTTCCCTGTGTGCTCGCTCATTCACCCGCTCACCCACTCGCTCATCCACTCGCTCACTCATTCACCCGCTCACCCACCCGCTCACCCACTCGTTCCCTCACCTACTCGTTCCCTCATTCACTCGCTCCCTCATTCACCCGCTCACACACTCGCTCCCTCACCCACTCACTCATTCGTTTGCTCCCTCATTCACCCGCTCACCCACTCGCTCCCTCACCCACTCGCTGACTCATTCACCCGCTCACCCACTCGCTCACCCACTCGCTCATTCGCTCGCTCACTCATTCAGTCCCTGAGTCTCCAATCCCCGAGTCTCTGGACCCCGTAACCCTTCCCCTCCCCACCCCGCCCCACCCTCACCCACGGTCTCTCTCCCACTCACTCCCTCATTCACTCGCTCCCTCATTCACCCGCTCACCCACTCGCTCACCCACTCGCTCACCCACTCGCTCATTCAGTCTCTGAGTCTCTGAGTATCTAAGTCTCTAAACCCAGAGTCTCCGAGTCTCCAATCCCCGAGTCTCTGGACCCGTAACCCTTCCCTCCCCACCCCGCCCCACCCTCACCCACTCGCTCACCCACTCGCTCACCCACTCGCTCACCCACTCGCTCACCCACTCGCTCACCCACTCGCTCACCCACTCGCTCGCTCATTCAGTCACCGAGTCTCTAAGTCTCTAAACCCCGAGTCTCCGAGTCTCCGAGTCTCCAATCCCCGAGTCTCCTAGTCTCGTAACCCTTCTCCCCACCCCGCCCCACCCTCACCCACTCGCTCACCCACTCGCTCACCCACTCGCTCGCTCATTCAGTCACCGAGTCTCTAAGTCTCTAAACCCCGAGTCTCCGAGTCTCCAATCCCCGAGTCTCCTAGTCTCGTAACCCTTCTCCCCACCCCGCCCCACCCTCACCCACTCGCTCACCCACTCGCTCACCCACTCGCTCGCTCATTCAGTCATCGAGTCTCTAAGTCTCTAAACCCCGAGTCTCCGAGTCTCCAATCCCCGAGTCTCCGAGTCTCGTAACCCTTCTCTCCACCCCGCCCCACCCTCACCCACGGTCTCTCTCCCTGTGCGTGTGTCTGTGCGCGTGTCCAAGGCGCGATGTATCGTGACGCTCTGTCTGCCCGCGACTGCTACGACCTGGGCCGCGTCGACTACACGGAGGGCGACTACCGCCACACGCAGCTCTGGATGCGGCAGGCGCTGCGCATGATGCACCGAGGAGGAGGAGGAGGGGGAGGGGAGAGACGTGGGGCGGAGGGCGGAGAGGCGGAGGAGACACCGGGGGGTGGAGGATCAGCGGTGGAGGGGGTGGAGTGGCTAACGGGGGCGGTGGTGGTGGACGAGGTGGACGTCTTGGACCACCTGAGCTTCGTGGCGTTTCAGCAGGGCAAGACGGAGGAAGCGTACGCGCTCACGAAGCGGCTGGTCAAGCTGGGTACGAGTGACGGGGGGGGTGGGGGGGGGGGGGGGGTGAGCGGGTGGGTGAGCGGGTGGGTGAGCGGGTGAGTGGGTGAATGAGCGAGTGAGCGAATGAGTGGGTGAGCGAGTGAATGAGCCAGTGAGCGAGTGGGTGAGCGGGTGGGTGAGCGGATGGGTGAGGGAGCGAGTGGGTGAGCGGGTGGGTGAGCGGGTGGGTGAGAGAGCGGGTGGGTGAGCGGGTGGGTGAGAGAGCGGGTGGGTGAGCGGGTGGGTGAGCGGGTGGGTGAGTGGATGAGAGGGTGGGTGAGCGAGTGGGTGAGCGGGTGGGTGAGCGAGTGAGCGAGTTGGTGAGCGAGTGGCTCAGCGGGTGAATAAGTGAGTGGGTGAGCGGGTGAATGAGGGAGCGAGTGGGTGAACAAGTGAATGAGCGAGTGTGTGAGCAAGTGAATGAGCGAGTGGGTGAGCGGGTGAATGAGGGAGCGAGTGGGTGAGCAAGTGGGTGAGCAAGTGAATGAGCGAGTGGGTGAGCGGGTGAATGAGGAAGCGAGTGGGTGAGCGAGTGGGTGAGCGAGCGGGTGAGCGAATGGTTGAGCGAGCGAGTGGGTGGGTGAGCAAGTGGGTGAGCAGATGAATTAGCGAGTGACGAGTGGGTAAGCGAGTGAATGAGTGAGTGGGTGAGTGGGTGAATAAGTGAAAGAATGAGCGAGCAAGTGAATGGGCGAGTGGGTGAGCGAGTGACGAGTGGGTAAGCGATTGAATGAGTGAGTGGGTGAGTGGGTGAATGAGCGAGTGAGTGAATGTGCGAGTGGGTGAGCGAATGTGCGAGTGAGTGAGCGGGTGAATGAACGAATGTGCGAGTGAGTGAATGAGCGAGTGGGTTAGCGAGTGATAGTGCGAGTGTGTGCATGGCAGCTGTACCGTTACCAGCTTGACCTCTGTGGGTTACACGGGGTCAGGTGGGCTAGTTCTGGAATGTGTCTGTGTCGAGGGGAGGCTGTCACATCTCACCCCATATCCATCTCCCCATCTCCCTCCTCACTACCACCGCCTCCCAGACCATCTCACTCTCTCTTCCCGTCTCTCCCCCCAACTCTCACACCCCATCTCCCCATATCCATCTCCCCATTTCTTTCTTCCCATTTCTCTCTCCGCATTTCTCCCCCCATCTCTCTTGCCACCACCAACGCCTCCTCCCAGACCCGTCTCTCTCTCCCCATCTCTCTCTCCATCTCTCTCCCCATCCCCATCTCCCCATCCCCATCTCCCCCCATCTCTCTCCCCACCACCACCGTCTCCTCCCAGACCCATCTCACTCTCTCTCCCCATCTCGCTCCCCATCTCCCCATCTCACTCTCTCCCCCCAACTCCCCATCTCCCCATCTCCCCATCTCTCTCTCCCCATCTCCCCAGACCCCTCTCACTCTCTCTCCCCATCTCTCTCCCCATCTCTCTCCCCATCTCTCTCCCCATCTCTCTCCCCATCTCCCCATCTCTCTCCCCATCTCTCTCCCCATCTCCCCATCTCTCCCCAGACCCGTCTCACTCTCACTCTCTCTCCCCATCTCCCCAGACCCGTCTCACTCTCACTCTCTCTCCCCCATCTCCCCATCTCACTCTCTCACCCCATCTCTCTCCCCATCTCCCCAGACCCGTCTCACTCTCACTCTCTCTCCCCATCTCCCCATCTCCCCAGACTCGTCTCACTCTCTCTCTCCATCTCCCCATCTCACTCTCTCTCCCCATCTCTCTCACCATCTCTCTCCCCATGCACCCATCTCCCCATCTCTCTCCCCATCTCCCCATCTCTCCATCCCCATCTCACTCTCTCTCCCCATCTCCCCCCCCATCTCCCCCCCCCCATCTCCCCCCCATCTCCCCCCCCCCATCTCCCCATCTCCCCATCTCTCTCTCCCCATCTCCCCCCCCATCTCCCCATCCCCCCATCTCTCCTCCCCATCTCTATCCCCATCCCCCATCTCCCCAGACCCGTCTCACTCTCTCTCCCCATCTCCCCAGAACCGTCTCACTCTCTCTCCCCATCTCTCTCCCCATCTCTCTCCCCATCTCCCCATCTCTCTCCCCATCCCCAGACCCGTCTCACTCTCTCTCCCCCATCTCCCCATCTCCCCATCTCTCCCCCCTTCTCCCCCCCATCTCCCCAACTCCCCATCTCCCCATCCCCCCATCTCTCTCCCCATCTCTCTCCCCATCCCCCATCTTTCCAGAACCGTCTCACTCTCTCTCCCCATCTCTCTCCCCATCTCCCCATCTCTCTCCCCATCCCCAGACCCGTCTCACTCTCTCTCCCCATCTCCCCAGACCCGTCTCACTCTCTCCCCAATTATCTCCCCATCTACCCATCTCCCCATCTCTCCCCCCATCTCCCCCCCCCCATCTCTCCCCCCATCTCCCCATCTCCCCATCCCCCCATCTCTCTCCCCATCCCCCCATCTCCCCAGACCCGTCTCACTCTCTCTCCCCATCTCCCCAGACCCGTCTCACTCTCTCTCCCCATCCCCCCATCTCCCCATCTCTCTCCCCATCCCCCCAGACACATCTCACTCTCACCATCTCTCTCCCCATCTCACTCTTTCCCCCCCCCCATCTCTCCCCAGACCCGTCTCACGAGTGTGCCCAGGGGAACCTCGACTACTTCTCCCGGGCGCTGTCCGCCAAGCGGAAGGGCGACGACGAATCTCACCTCCTCACCACCGGCATCCGCAGCGACTCCTCATCCTCCTCGTCGTCATCGAAGAGGAGGAGGAAGGACACGATGGGGGGAGAGAGACTCGGGGAGGAGGAAGTGGAGGTGGAAGAGGAAGTGGATGAGGAGGTGGACGATGGAAAAAGTGCAAGCTACATGAAGCTGTGTCGGGGAGAGGGGATCAAGATGGTGAGTCGGGGGGGTAGGCGACGGACGACCTCACGGCTCCCTCCGTGCCTCCCTCCCGCTCTTCTCCGCGTCATCTCTCTTGTCCTCCACGTCTCCCTGTCTCCCTCTCCCTGTGTTTCTCTGTGTCTCTCTGTGTCTCTCTCTGTCTCTGTCTCTCTCTTTTTTTTTAATAATAACATTGCTTTATGTAAACCCCCACCTCTCGCTCACTCTCTCGCCCACTCTCTCGCCCACTCTCTCGCTCACTCTCTCGCTCACTCTCTCGCTCACTCTCTCGCTCACTCTCTCGCCCACTCTCTCGCCCACTCTCTCGCCCACTCTCTCGCCCACTCTCTCGCCCACTCTCTCGCTCACTCTCTCGCTCACTCTCTCGCTCACTCTCTCGCCCACTCTCTCGCTCACTCTCTCGCCCACTCTCTCGCTCACTCTCTCGCCCACTCTCTCGCCCACTCTCTCGCCCACTCTATCGCTCACTCTCTCGCCCACCCTCTCGCCCACTCTCTCGCCCACTCTCTCGCCCACTCTCTCGCTCACTCTCTCGCTCACTTTCTCGCTCACTCTCTCGCTCACTCTCTCGCTCACTCTCTCGCCCACTCTCTCGCTCACTCTCTCGCTCACTCTGTCGCCCACTCTCTCGCTCACTCTCTCGCCCACTCTCTCGCTCACTCTCTCGCCCACTCTCTCGCTCACTCTCTCGCTCACTCTCTCGCTCACTCTCTCGCCCACTCTCTCGCCCACTCTCTCGCTCTCTCTCTCGCCCACTCTCTCGCCCACTCTCTCGCCCACTCTCTCGCTCACTCTCTCGCTCTCTCTCTCGCGCACTCTCTCGCTCTCTCTCTCGCTCTCTCTCTCGCGCACTCTCTCGCCCACTCTCTCGCTCACTCTCTCGCCCACTCTCTCGCTCACTCTCTCGCTCACTCTCTCGCTCACTCTCTCGCCCACTCTCTCGCCCACTCTCTCGCTCTCTCTCTCGCCCACTCTCTCGCCCACTCTCTCGCCCACTCTCTCGCTCACTCTCTCGCCCACTCTCTCGCTCACTCTCTCGCTCTCTCTCTCGCGCACTCTCTCGCTCTCTCTCTCGCTCTCTCTCTCGCGCACTCTCTCGCGCACTCTCTCGCTCACTCTCTCGCTCACTCTCTCGCTCACTCACTCGCTCACTCTCTCGCTCACTCTCTCGCTCACTCTCTCGCTCACTCTCTCGCTCACTCTCCCGCCCACTCTCTCGCCCACTCTCTCGCCCACTTTCTCGCTCACTCTCTCGCTCACTCTCTCGCTCACTCTCTCGCTCACTCTCTCGCTCACTCTCTCGCTCACTTTCTCGCTCACTCTCTCGCTCACTCTCTCGCTCACTCTCTCGCTCTCTCTCCCGCCCACTCTCACGCCCACTCTCTCGCTCACTCTCTCGCTCACTCTCTCGCTCACTCTCTCGCTCACTCTCTCGCTCACTCTCCCGCTCACTCTCTCGCTCACTCTCTCGCTCACTCTCCCGCTCACTCTCTCGCTCACTCTCTCGCTCACTCTCTCGCTCACTCTCTCGCCCCTCTCTCGCCCACTCTCTCGCTCACTCTGTCGCTCACTCTCTCGCTCTCTCTCCCGCTCACTCTCTCGCTCACTCTCTCGCCCACTCTCTCGCCCACTCTCTCGCCCACTCTCTCGCTCACTCTCTCGCCCACTCTCCCGCTCACTCTCTCGCTCACTCTCCCGCTCACTTTCTCGCTCACTCTCTCGCTCACTCTCCCGCTCACTCTCTCGCTCTCTCTCCCGCCCACTCTCTCGCTCACTCTCTCGCTCTCTCTCGTTCTGCACGCAGCCCTTCCCGCAGTCCGACGGCCTCCGACGGGTAGCTCATATCAGCATGCAGAGCTCCCCATCATCTGCCACTGAGCACACGGCCTCCTCCATCGCCCACTGCTCCTTGAAGGCCGGCACTGCGTGGGTCAGCAGCCGCGCATGGCGGAACTCCGGCCACACCCTGGCTCCGACCAGAGCGCGGAAGATGCCCAGGCTGCTGGCCGGACGTTTCCCCTCCAGGGCCACCTTCCTCGCCCTGTAAATGGCGAGCTTGGCATAGCCGACGAGCATTCTCTCCCTCTCTCACCCTCTCACCCTCTCCCCCTCTCTCCCTCTCTCCCCGCTCTCTCTCTGTATGCGTGGCACGTGCAGTGCCATGTGCAGTGTTTGTGATGTCCACACGTGACGCTGCACTCGATGTGTGACTTCGCATCGAACTCGGCTCCGGTGCTAACGCTGCTGGCAGCAATAACATTGGTTTGAAACTTTCTCTCTCCATCTCCCTCTCTCTCTCTCTCTCCCGCTCTCTCCCCCCGTGCAGGCAGCACCAATGTAGGAGACACTCTGCCTTCGGGGCAGCTCTCCAACGTGCCGTGGAGATGCACCGGCGTGCGCTACACCAACAACGAGGCGTACTTCGACGTGATAGAGGAGGTGGATGTCATCATTGATCGCTCTGGTGAGAGAGAGAGAGAAGAAGAGAGAGAGAGAGATAGTGGGAGAGAGATGCAGAGAGAGACGCAGAGAGAGACGCAGAGAGAGACGCAGAGAGAGACGCAGAGAGAGACGCAGAGAGACGCAGAGAGAGACGCAGAGAGAGACGCAGAGAGAGACAGAGACACAGGGAGAGACACAGGGAGAGACACAGGGAGAGACACAGGGAGAGACACAGGGAGAGACACAGGGAGAGACACAGGGAGAGACACAGGGAGAGACACAGGGAGAGACACAGGGAGAGACACAGGGAGAGACACAGGGAGAGACACAGGGAGAGACACAGGGAGAGACACAGGGAGAGACACAGGGAGAGACACAGGGAGAGACACAGGGAGAGACACAGAGAGAGACACAGAGTGTGAGAGACTTTTGACTTTCAAACCACTTTTATTGCTGCCAGCAGCAACAGCACTGGAGCTGGTTTCGCTACGAAACACACAAAGTCACCAAACACGAAAGCTTTAAATCAAAATTGCACCATCTTTGCTTGCCCACAACTTGTGTCCAACAATAAAAATTCACTTGGGAAAAAACACAGAGAGAGAGACAGGGCTGAGAGGGTGAAGATGAGAGGGAGGGCAGAGGAGGGAGAGAGTGTGGGGAGAGAGAGTTTGGAGAGAGAGGAGAGTGTGGGGTGAATTTGGAAAGATTTTTTTTGTTGACCAGTGCAATAGACACACAGAGACACAGAGGGGGGGGGGGAGACAGAGAAAGAGACAGAGAGAGACTTTTATGTGTGTCTCCGTGCGTGTCCGTGTCCGTGTGTCTCCGCGTGTGTCTCAGGCTCCACGGTGACGGCTGAGATTCAGGGCGTGATTGACGCCTGTGTGAAGCTCACGGGGATGCCTGACCTCACACTCTCCTTCATGGTGACACACGCACATACACACACGTACATACGCATACATACACACACGTACATACGCATACATACACACACGTACATACGCATACACACACACGTACACACGCATACACACACACACGTACATACGCATACATACACACGTACAGACGCATACACACACACACGTACACACGCATACACACACACGTACACACGCATACATACACACACGTACATACGCATACATACACACACATACATACGCATACACACACATACATACTCATACATACACACACGTACATACGCATACATACACACACATACACACGCATATACGTACACACACGTACATACTCATACATACACACACGTACATACGCATACATACACACGTACACACGCATACACACACACGTACACACGCATACACACACACACGTACATACGCATACACACACACGTACACACGCATACATACACACACGTACATACGCATACATACATACATGTACATACGCATACACACACACGTACATACGCATACACACACACACGTACATACGCATACATATGTAATGCGAGCAAGGGAAGAGGGGGCGGAGTCTGGGTCACGTGAGGAGAAGGAGGAGTCAGGGTCACGTGAGAGAGAGGATTTAGGGGGAGAACCGGAAGCGATCTGGGAGTTGAGAAGGAGTGGAAACAGGGGGAGGCCACGCTGGGTAGTGGCGAGAGGGTGGTGCCATTTGCCACGTAGTGGGAGGCCACGGCACCGTCGGCCAGCGGTGTACGTGGGCACAGAAGAGCTAGTGGGCTAGAGTTAGTGGAGTAGAGCTAGCGGAGGAGAGCTAGTGGAGTGTGGGAAGCTAGCCGGGTGTGAAGAGCTAGCAGAGTGTGCGGGGCACACAGAGCAGCGGTGTGGCTGCAGACGGAGCAGCGGTGTGGCTGCACGGTGCACGGTGGAGGAGGTACGGGTCTGAGCGAGGACGCCGCAGGGGCGAGAGAGACAAGAACCCGAATAAAGGACAACGGAGACCTACACTGTCTGAAGAGTCCTTTATTACACATATACACACGTACATACACATACACACACGTACACACGCATACATACACACACGTACACACGCATACACGTACACACACATACACAACAACGACAACAACCGTCATTCGCCACTAAGTGGAGGTGACGTCACCACGACGCTTGTGCCAGGCCATGTGCACGTTGAGGCCACGTGAAGTGTCGAACGTCCACTGGCAGGAGGTCACGGGGCAGACCCAGCAGGTGCCACGGGTCGACTGACTGAGATGACTGGCTGATGCACCACCTGTGCCTCCTACTGCAGCAACTTACACACACACACACAAACACTTATACATGTACGTAAAGACAAAGATCCCCTGTATAGCCTCAGCAGACTTTTGGGGCAAGTGGTGTTAGCGAGCACCTATGAAGGCCGGAACGGTACACGAGGGGGTGGGTGGCCAGCACCACGCCCGACCGCCTTTGTCTCCCCAGTGGCGATGTTTACTCCACGCCACCGCTACACCAGGTATTCATTTGAGGCTGAGTCGACCTTGGGGAGGTCCATGACCGGTTCAGATTAACGTCACCGGCCGTGGTCATGAGCTGGAATCAAACTCGGGTTGCTGAGTTCGTAGCGCAGTGTAGCACTAACCACTGCGCCACCGCTCCCCTACATATACAGATGCACACACTCGCATTTACATATTCACACTTGTACTGTCTGCTTGTGTCTCTCCCCATGTCTCTCACCCCATGTTTCTCCCCATGTCTCTCTTCCCATCTCTCTCCCTGTGTGTCTCTCTCATCATTTCTCTCTCTTACCATGTCCCTCTCTCTCCCCGTGTCTCTCTGTCTCTCATCGCGTCTCTGTCTCCCCGTGTGTCTCTCTCTCCCCGTGTCTCTCTCTCTCTCTCCCCGTGTCTCTGTCTGTCTCCCCGTGTGTCTCTCTCTCCCCGTGTCTCACCCCCCGCGTGTCTCTGTCTCTCCGTGTGTAGAACCCGCGTCTGCTGGACGATGTGAGTTTCCACCCGTGCGTGCGCTTCAAGCGCTGGGAGTCGGAGCGCGTTCTCTCCTTCATCCCTCCCGACGGGAACTTCCGGCTCATCTCCTATCACGTCTCCTCGCAGAGGTGACACGGAGATACACGCAGAGAGACACGCGGAGACAGAGAGACACATGGAGAGACACACGGAGAGACACACGGAGAGACACACGGAGACACACATGGAGAGACACACAGATAGACACACGGAGAGACACACGGAGAGACACACGGAGAGACACACACGGAGAGACACACAGAGACACACAGAGACACACGGAGAGACACACGGAGAGACACACGGAGACACACACAGAGACACCCACAGAGACACACACAGAGACACCCACAGAGACACCCACAGAGACACCCACAGAGACACCCACGAAGACACCCACAGAGACACACACAGAGACACACACGAAGACACACACAGAGACACCCACAGAGACAGAGAGACACACAGAGAGACAAAGACACACACGAAGACATATCCATCCCGGCGTGCGTGTCTCTGTCTTCCTCCCCCAGCCTGGTGTCCGTGCCCGTGCGCGTGCGTCACTCCGTGTCGTTCCGTGAGGGTGGTGGCGGCGGCGGGCGTCTGGAGTTGACGCTGGGGCCTCGGCACAGCGGCGGGAAGACGCTGGAGGCGGTCGTCGTCACGGCGACGCTGCCGCCCCCCGTGCTCGCCGTGGCGCTCACGGCAACGCAGGGGACCCACGCCTTCGACCCCGTCTCCAAGGTGACGGGGGGGGGGGAGAGACGGGGGGGGGGTATGGGGAGAGGGGAGGAGAGAGGGAAATAGGGGGGGGGTATGGGGAGAGGGGAGGAGAGAGGGACATGGGGGGGGGGGGGGTATGGGGAGAGAGGAGGAGAGAGGGGGGGAAGAGACAAGGGGGGGGGTATGGGGACAGGGAGGAGAGAGAGTCAAGGGTGACATATCTTCTTGGTTTTTTCGGTAAAGTCGTCACGTAGAAGGGAAATAATAAAAATAAAACATAATAAAATAATTCTCACGACGTTTCGGCCACAACGCAAGCAGCCGTCCTCAGGTGAAGAACAGGTCTGTCGGGAAGACAGCGTCTGAATGACACACCCCAGGCTTGGAGCGTATATATTTAAGCTGGGTTGGAGGGGGAAGAGCGCCTTGTTCTTCACCTGAGGACGGCTGCTTGCGTTGTGGCCGAAACGTCATGAGAATTATTGTATTAAGTTTTATTTTTATTATTTTATTATTTCCCTTCTACGTGACTTTACCGAAAGAACCAAGAAAATGAATCCCTGCAGTCACGAAAGCTTTCAATCGAAATTTAAGGGTGACACAGTCGGGTTTTTTACCATCAGGTTTTATTGTCTTTTCATATTAAACCCGATCATCTGAGATTTGGAGAAATCCGGTTTAATTGGTTCTAATTGCAGAACCGCACTTCTCAACAATGGGCTTCATCCATTCCAAGCTAAGGAACAAAGGCTCAGTCCCATTCACAGCAGCCGCACCTTTACATCAGCCGCACCTTAACAACTCTTGGAACCTCCCAGTTCAACGAGTCTACACAACAAAGACTCATTCCTGGCAGCGTGCTTCAGCCGCACCGAACCTCCTCCCACCCTCAACCAGTATATATACAAGGACTGTTTTCTTGGAATTTCTCTTACTTGATACAGCTATCGTGCTGTGACGGTTCCACCTGAAGACGGAAGCTTGTGGTGTTGCCTCCGAAACGTCGTGATTTTTATATTATTTTTATTTTATTAATTTTAATTTTTTACCTACGTGACTTTACCGAAATAACCTAAGAATATGAACTCACTGGTGCCCACGATTGTGGAGGAGATGCTCGTGTTCATCAAGACCAACCTGCCCACCGCATTCTACGACTACCCCGTGCCCAATGGCCCCCCCGAATACGATGATAGCAGCGCCGACGAGGAAGCAGCCTAAGCCTTGGATCAGAGTTTCGTATTCATTTAAACCAGGTTTTAATTTTCGATTTAAAGCTTTCGTGACTGCAGGGATTCATCTTCTTGGTTTTTTTTGGTAAAGTCACGTAGGTAAAAAATTCAAATTAAAAGTAAAATAAAAATAAAATAAAAATCACGACGTTTCGGAGGCAACACAAGCCTCCGTCTTCAGGTTTTAATTCCCTCGAAATCTGGTTTAATTGTATTAAAGAAAAAAACCCGATGCCTGCCGCTGGAAAAATCGGGTTTTTTCCACCCATGAGAGAGAGGGACAGAGGGGAGGTACGGGGGTAGAGGGAGAGAGATGTTTTCAGCATGTTTTAATCATGCCTGTACTACATTTACGTGAAACTGCCTTTGTGGTTGTCTTT